GGCGCATTTTTTGATTGGTCCAGCGGATGCTGAGCTACAGTGAAAATAAATTCGGAAAAAATTTCGAAAAAATAAATTTGCGAGATAATCGATTCGGAATACCATCAAAGTAGTTAGAAGAAAGTTCTGAACAAAAAATGTATGGCGCACTTTTTGATTGGTCCAGCGGATGCTGAGCTACAGTGAAAATAAATTCGGAAAAAATTTCGAAAAAATAAATTTGCGAGATAATCGATCCGGAATACCGCCAATAAAATAGGGAAAAAGTTTCGAACAAAAATTGTATGGCGCACTTTTTGATTGGTCCAGCGGATGCTGAGCTACAGTGAAAATAAATTCGGAAAAAATTTCGAAAAAATAAATTTGCGAGATAATCGATCCGGAATACCGCCAATAAAATAGGGAAAAAGTTTCGAACAAAAATTGTATGGCGCACTTTTTGATTGGTCCAGCGGATGCTGAGCTACAGTGAAAATAAATTCGGAAAAAATTTCGAAAAAATAAATTTGCGAGATAATTGATCGGAAATACCGCCAAAGTCTTTAGCAAAAAGTAGCGAACAAAAAATGTATGGCGCACTTTTGTATTGGTCCAGCGGATGCTGAGCTACACTCAGATAAATTTTTTAAAAAATTTCGAAAAATGAAATTTGCGAGATAATTGGTCGGGAATACCGTCAAAGTCTTAACCCGGGAGTCTCGAACAAAAAATATATGGCGCACTTTTTGATTGGTCCAGCGGATGCTGAGCTACACTCATATAAATTTTTTAAAAAATTTCGAAAAATTAAATTTGCGAGATAATTGATCGGGAATACCGCCAAAGTAGTTAGAAGAAAGTTCTGAACAAAAAATGTATGGCGCACTTTTTGATTGGTCTAGCGGATGCTGAGCTACAGTGAAAATAAATTTGGAAAAAATTTCGAAAAAATAAATTTGCGAGATAATCGATTCGGAATAGCACCAAAGTAGTTAGAAGAAAGTTCTGAACAAAAAATGTATGGCGCACTTTTTGATTGGTCCAGTGGATGCTGAGCTACACTAGAAATCAAATTTGGAAAAAATTACAAAAAATTAAATTTGCGAGATTATCGGTCGGGAATACCACCAATAAAATAGTCAAAAAGTTCCGAACAAAAAATGTATGGCGCACTTTTTGATTGGTCCAGCGGATGCTGAGTTACACTCAGATAAATTTTTTAAAAAATTTCGAAAAAATAAATTTGCGAGATAATTGATCGGAAATACCGCCAAAGTCTTTAGCAAAAAGTAGCGAACAAAAAATGTATGGCGCACTTTTGTATTGGTCCAGCGGATGCTGAGCTACACTCAGATAAATTTTTTAAAAAATTTCGAAAAATGAAATTTGCGAGATAATTGGTCGGGAATACCGTCAAAGTCTTAACCCGGGAGTCTCGAACAAAAAATATATGGCGCACTTTTTGATTGGTCCAGCGGATGCTGAGCTACACTCATATAAATTTTTTAAAAAATTTCGAAAAATTAAATTTGCGAGATAATTGATCGGGAATACCGCCAAAGTAGTTAGAAGAAAGTTCTGAACAAAAAATGTATGGCGCACTTTTTGATTGGTCTAGCGGATGCTGAGCTACAGTGAAAATAAATTTGGAAAAAATTTCGAAAAAATAAATTTGCGAGATAATCGATTCGGAATAGCACCAAAGTAGTTAGAAGAAAGTTCTGAACAAAAAATGTATGGCGCACTTTTTGATTGGTCCAGTGGATGCTGAGCTACACTAGAAATCAAATTTGGAAAAAATTACAAAAAATTAAATTTGCGAGATTATCGGTCGGGAATACCACCAATAAAATAGTCAAAAAGTTCCGAACAAAAAATGTATGGCGCACTTTTTGATTGGTCCAGCGGATGCTGAGTTACACTCAGATAAATTTTTTAAAAAATTTCGAAAAAATAAATTTGCGAGATAATTGATCGGGAATACCGCCAAATTCTTAACCCGGGAGTCTCGAACAAAAAATGTATGGCGCACTTTTTGATTGGTCTAGCGGATGCTGAGCTACACTCAGAAAATTTTTTTAAAAAATTTTAAAAAATTAAATTTGCGAGATAATTGGTCGGGAATACCGCCAAAGTAGTTAGAAGAAAGTTCTGAACAAAAAATGTATGGCGCACTTTTTGATTGGTCCAGCGGATGCTGAGCTACATTGAAAATAAATTCGAAAAAAATTTCGAAAAAATAAATTTGCGAGGTAATCGATCCGGAATAATGCCAAAAAATTGAGCAAAAAGTCTCGAACAAATAATGGATGGCGCACTTTTTGATTGGTCCAGCGGATGCTGAGCTACACTCAGATAAATTTTTTAAAAAATTTCGAAAAAATAAATTTGCTAGATAATTGGTCGGGAATGCCGCCAAAGTCTTAACCCGGGAGTCTCGAACAAAAAATGTATGGCGCACTTTTTGATTGGTCCAGCGGATGCTGAGCCACACTCAGATAAATTTTTTAAAAAATTTCGAAAAAATAAATTTGCGAGATAATTGGTCGGGAATGCCGCCAAAGTCTTAACCCGGGAGTCTCAAACAAAAAATGTATGGCGCATTTTTTGATTGGTCCAGCGGATGCTGAGCTACAGTGAAAATAAATTCGGAAAAAATTTCGAAAAAATAAATTTGCGAGATAATCGATTCGGAATACCATCAAAGTAGTTAGAAGAAAGTTCTGAACAAAAAATGTATGGCGCACTTTTTGATTGGTCCAGCGGATGCTGAGCTACAGTGAAAATAAATTCGGAAAAAATTTCGAAAAAATAAATTTGCGAGATAATCGATCCGGAATACCGCCAATAAAATAGGGAAAAAGTTTCGAACAAAAATTGTATGGCGCACTTTTTGATTGGTCCAGCGGATGCTGAGCTACAGTGAAAATAAATTCGGAAAAAATTTCGAAAAAATAAATTTGCGAGATAATTGATCGGAAATACCGCCAAAGTCTTTAGCAAAAAGTAGCGAACAAAAAATGTATGGCGCACTTTTGTATTGGTCCAGCGGATGCTGAGCTACACTCAGATAAATTTTTTAAAAAATTTCGAAAAATGAAATTTGCGAGATAATTGGTCGGGAATACCGTCAAAGTCTTAACCCGGGAGTCTCGAACAAAAAATATATGGCGCACTTTTTGATTGGTCCAGCGGATGCTGAGCTACACTCATATAAATTTTTTAAAAAATTTCGAAAAATTAAATTTGCGAGATAATTGATCGGGAATACCGCCAAAGTAGTTAGAAGAAAGTTCTGAACAAAAAATGTATGGCGCACTTTTTGATTGGTCCTGCGGATGCTGAGCTACAGTGAAAATAAATTCGGAAAAAATTTCGAAAAAATAAATTTGCGAGATAATCGATTCGGAATAGCACCAAAGTAGTTAGAAGAAAGTTCTGAACAAAAAATGTATGGCGCACTTTTTGATTGGTCCAGTGGATGCTGAGCTACACTAGAAATCAAATTTGGAAAAAATTACAAAAAATTAAATTTGCGAGATTATCGGTCGGGAATACCACCAATAAAATAGTCAAAAAGTTCCGAACAAAAAATGTATGGCGCACTTTTTGATTGGTCCAGCGGATGCTGAGTTACACTCAGATAAATTTTTTAAAAAATTTCGAAAAAATAAATTTGCGAGATAATTGATCGGGAATACCGCCAAATTCTTAACCCGGGAGTCTCGAACAAAAAATGTATGGCGCACTTTTTGATTGGTCTAGCGGATGCTGAGCTACACTCAGAAAATTTTTTTAAAAAATTTTAAAAAATTAAATTTGCGAGATAATTGGTCGGGAATACCGCCAAAGTAGTTAGAAGAAAGTTCTGAACAAAAAATGTATGGCGCACTTTTTGATTGGTCCAGCGGATGCTGAGCTACAGTGAAAATAAATTCGAAAAAAATTTCGAAAAAATAAATTTGCGAGGTAATCGATCCGGAATAATGCCAAAAAATTGAGCAAAAAGTCTCGAACAAATAATGGATGGCGCACTTTTTGATTGGTCCAGCGGATGCTGAGCTACACTAGAAAAAATATTTGGAAAAAATTACAAAAAATTAAATTTGCGAGATTGTCTGTCGGGAATACCGCTAAAGTCTTTAGCAAAAAGTAGCGAACAAAAAATGTATGGCGCACTTTTTGATTGGTCCAGCGGATGCTGAGCTACACTCAGATAAATTTTTTAAAAAATTTCGAAAAATTAAATTTGCGAGATAATTGGTCGGGAATGCCGCCAAAGTCTTAACCCGGGAGTCTCGAACAAAAAATGTATAGCGCACTTTTTGATTGGTCCAGCGGATGCTGAGCTATACTCAAAAACATTTTGGAAAAATTGTCGAAAAAATAAATTCGCAAGATAATTGTTTGGGAATTACGCCAAAGTTGTTAGAAGAAAGTTCTGAACAAAAAATGTATGGCGCACTTTTTGATTGGTCCAGCTAATGCAGAGCTTCACTCAAAAAATTTTTGAAAAATTTTTGGAAAAATTAAATTTGTGAGGTAATTCTTTTGGAATAACACCAAAGTCTTAATCCGGGAGTCTCGAACGAAAAATGTATGCCGCACTATTTAATTGTATCAACAAATTTTGTTCTAGCTTCTAGTAATTTTTTCTTTTAATATTAAATTAAATAATAATAGATTAATTTTTTTTATATTTTTCATAATTAAAATAGAGTTTTAAATTTAATCGATTAAAATGAATATACACGTGTTAGAGTAATGTCAAACATTACAAGGTTATGTTACATTAAATTTTTTCAACCTGTTTCTTTATTAAATGGATCCACAGATGCAAAAATAAGGTAAAAAATATTAATTTTTCTTTTATAAAAAGTTGTTTAAATTAGAGCAATTTTTAACAGAAAATTACATGTATTTGAAATATTTCGTAAAAGAGGTTATGTTACCAAAAAGAATAAACTATGTTTTTATATAAATTAATAACAATAATAATAATGATAATATAAAAAATTTACCTGATATGGTACATCTTCGTGAAGTTTTTCTCGAGTTGCAGCAATATCTAATGTTAAAATACAGCATGTATCAGCATTCCAAACATAGAGAATATCGTCACGTATTTCAATTATATTTCTTGTTTCTTTTGCGCCTTTTGGTAAACTTTTCTTTAATTCTTGAAAGAGACGCTTATCATTTAAATGTAAAAGATCAGTACATGAACTCATTTTTTTTTCTTATTAATTTATAAAACAATTAAAATTATCACAACCGCTTTAAAGAATTAATCGCACCACAATATCTACCGACAACAATGAAGTTAGTTGCGCATGACACTCGCGAGAGTTACTAATCGATAGTTCGCCGAGCGAGATATCGATTAGTTACTTCCACTTTCGAGAGGCGCTTTATCCAAATTTAAATAATTAACATAAAAGTATAATTTTTTCAATTATATTCACCAATGAACTAATGTTAATTATTATTATTATTATTATTATTATTATTATTATTATATAATAAAAAAATTTATTTTATATATTTTATTTATATATTAATTTAGTAACTTTACGTTTTATTTTTAAATAAAAATAATTCTTGTTTTTTATAAATAATTATTATATAATTATTTAATAATTAACTTAATATAAACTTTATTAATTTAATTAATAAATTTTTTTCTATTTATTAATCGACTGTAATTCTTCAACGAAATATATTATTATATAAGTTTAAAAAAAAATTATTAATAAACTAATTTTATTTTTATTTTATTCTTTATTTCTATATTTTCCAGATTGATTTTTTAAAATTAAATAATTGTGTAATTCGATGAATACTAAATGCAGTCGTGTATAAAAATTAATATTAAACTGTCAAGAAATAAAATTAAAGAACAATTGAATATAATAAAAAAAGAAAAAATGGGAAAAATTTTGTAATATAACAAAAAGTGACAAATTTTTAAATTGTCACCAAGGCCCCGGAGGGATTCGAACCCTCGATCTCCTGTTTACTAGACAGGCGCTTTAACCAACTAAGCCACGGCGCCAACTGTTTGACAGTATTTTAAAAATATTTTTTCAAATTAAATAGTGTTATTATTTTTAGTTATCTTTAATATTTAAAATTTATTTTAATTATTATTTTCTTCAATTTACTAAATTATCAAATTTACTAAATATTAAATAGTAATTTATTAAATGAAAATAAAGTAGAATATTTATCCAATTAAACAAGTGAGTTTATATTGTTTTTTTTTTTTTTTTTTTTTTTTTTCATGGAACTAGTAATTAAAATGTGCTTTATCTTGATTAAGATTGTCGTTATGAATATCGTGTTGTTGTGACATGGTTTGTATGTGTATGCAAGAAATAGGCTGACAGTTGCACACGGTGCCCTTCGGTACCTATACGGTTAATTAAATGGGGTTGGCTCATTAGTAACTGTCTATATGCAAGGCGACGGGTGAGAGAGAGAGAGAGAGAGAGGTGATCGCAGGGGTATGGTCCCAAGGTGATTTATCCGTCACGATGGATCGCAGTGTTCGATATTGTATACGTGCGCGCATCAATTCGATTACTCTATACATATATATATATATATGTATATGTATAATTAAACCAACGACGACAACGATGATACGATGAGAGTAAATCAGTCTTTGTGACTCATCCAATTTAAAAAAAAAAAAAAAAAAAAAAACAAATGAAAAATTTACGTTCAATTGCCCTTTAGATTATGTAATTATGGATCAAATAAACCCATTTTTTTTTTATTGAACATTTTTGATACATTAATTTTTAAATATTAGATTTCTGCTTTTAAATTTGCTTTCTAGTTCTAATGATATATCGAAATTTGATTGGTCGCGATATATTGCAATCATTTATAGAATAAAATATAACTTTTTTTTCGGCAAATAGATTTTAAAAATAGTTCCTAAAATTCAATGAGAGAAAGCAACTTTTGGAATGTTGACATTAACGGTCCGTGTGTTTAAATTGTGCGTTTAATTACAAGTAAGAGACAAATTCGTGGGTATGTAAAATTTATTGGTCATACTGTTTTCCAACCCCTTTTCGTTTCTAATCTATGCGACATTCGTGCTGAATATGCCCATTTAAGAGTTTTTATAAATAAACTTTTTCTTTATCTGTATATATATATATATATATAGAAGAGGTTCAATTTTTTATTTTGAGGTTATGTCAAAAGGTTAACCCCCCCCCCTTTGAACAAATGCCATTGCAATTAGAAAAATATAATAAATATTTTGTAGAAAAAATATTGACAAAAATGAAAAAAATGTATTTTTTTTAACTTTTATGAAAAAAAAAATGAATTTTTTTTTTGTGTAGGAGTGTGAGAGAGAGAGAGATAAGTAATGGTAGTTGTATGTGGGAGTAAATTTACGTCTTTGAGAAAGCCTGGCAGTGTTGTCTAATGTTTGCACGCTATTACCGAACATATACCTTGGCATCGAGATAGTTTGGAGTTTCGCTTCTTATTGGGTCGAAATTTATACCCATAAATCTAAACGCTACGCGCGTTGAGAGGTTGAATCCTGCTACTATACTAGAAAGAGAGAGAGAGAGTTTTCCTCTCCCATTTCTCTCTCTCTCTCTTTATTCCATTCTCCTTGTATCTCTCCTTCTCTCTCTCTTTTCTCCCCCCATTGCCAAATATATACTCAAGGGTACATATGATGTCTAGGCACATAAGCAATGATTTATCTAACAATTAAATGAATAACCCATGTCATAATATTCTTTGTTTTTTTTTTAACAAAAATAATTTTACCCATTTTTTTCTGTTTGTTTTCTATTTTTGAATTATTCACACAATTGAAATTAATTTATTGCGCTAACAAATGAAAAATATATAGTTAAAAAGGGGGAAAGACGATAACGCGACAGAAACAGCAAAGAGATGCGCTCATTTAAAGTCGTAGGTACTAATTAACAGCAACGATTCAAGATGTTTTGGAATGGTAGAAAGAGAGAGAGAGAGAGAGAGAGAAACTTGAAAAGGATATAGAGAGAAGGTGATGGTAGTGGTTTCACCTCAAGAAGAGAGGAAATCTTAAGACCGCTTGTTCTCTCCAGAGAATCAAGTGTTGGGAGAATTAACAGCAAACCCTTGATCTTGGCCCTCCTATGCTGTTTCTATCTCCCTAATAATAAACTGGTAAATTCCCAATGCACCTATAACTTACTTCTCTTTCAACACAATATATATATATACATATAAATACTATATATATATATATATATATATATATATATATATATATATATATATATATATATCAATGTCTCTATAAATATCTATATGTGTTCACTAAAAACAAATCCTTTAATTTTAATCAATGTCGTTAGCTCTATATAATTAGGTGTCAAATTGTAAAAACTGATTTTTTACCTCAATATGAACAATGAAAAAAAATTCTGGTTAGGCTATATTTAACATTACTTTCTAGTTATGTTAACCAGAATTCTAGTTGAATTAACTAGAATTCTCGTTAAAATAACCAGAATTCTGGTTAACCTAACCAGAATCAAAATGTTAAATATACCATAACCAGAATTTTTTTTCAGTGTAGCATGTTTTGTCAAAAATAATTATATGAGATTATGAGTTACGTAATAAATTATCAGTTATATATATATATATATATATATATATATATATATATATATATATATATATGAGAAATTGTGTGTTCATGTATTAGGTGAAAAATTAAGTTTATGAGTTTTATAAGGATTATATTTATAAATTTATGATTTTTACAAATTTTTAAATGAATTTTAGAGTTCATGAACATTTATTATAAGCTGTATAATGCTTTATTATGAGTTTTATGATGCTTTTTATGATTTTATGTTTTTTACTATGAATTTATGAGTTTTATGACAGTTCTTTTTGCAAGTTTATGATTTTTACAAGTTTATAACTAAATTTAAGGGTTTTCAAATTATTATTATGAGTTTTATGATGAATTTATGAGTATTATTATCAGTTGATGACTTTTGTGAGGTTTTTATTGAGAATTTTTAAATTTTCTCAAGTTTTCCAAAACATTTATGAGTTTTCTAAGGTTTCTATTTTGAATTTATGAGTTTTATGAATCATTGTTTAAAAATTTATGAGGTTTTTATTTAGAATTTTATGATTTTTCAAATTTGTAAATTAGTTTAAGAGTTTTTGAGGTATTTTTTATAAGTTTTCGAAGGGTTTTTATTAAAACTTTATGAGTTTAAAGAATTATTGTTTGCCCGTTTATGTGTTTTATGAGGTTTTTATTTATAATTTTATTATTTTTCAAATTTATAAATTAATTCCAAAATTTTGTAAGTTATTACAATGAGTTTTATTATCAGTTTATGAGTTTTACAAGGCTTCCATTTAGAAATTATGTAGTTTTCTAGGTAATATTGTGAATTCATGAGTTTTCTAAAGTTTTTTATTAAGAATTTATGAGTTTAGTAAATTATTGTTGTCAAGTTCATAAGTTTTATAAGGTTTTATTTAAAAGTTTATGATTTTTTCAAGTTTCAAATTAATTTCAGAGTTTATTATGTGTTTATAATGTTTATTAAGAGTTTTATTACGAGTTATTTGAGTTTTATTATCATTTATTGACTTTTATTAGGCTTTTATTAAGAATTTTTGAGTTTGCAAGTGTTTTACTGAGAGTTAATGCGTTTTTTAAGGTTTTTATTGTAAAATTTATGAGTTTTATGAGTTATTGTTGTCGAGTTTATGAGTTATATTAAGTTTTTATTTATAATTTTATGATTTTTACAAGTTTATAAATTCATTTCAGACTTGTTATTTATAATTTTATGATTTTTTCAAATTTATAAATTAATTTCAGAGTTTTTAAGGTTGTTTTATGAGTTTTCTAAGGTTTTTATTAAGAATTTATGAGTTTAGTGAGCTATTATTGTCGAGTTCATAAGTTTTATAAGGTTTTTAATCAAAAGTTTATGATTTTTCAAGTTTTGTAATAAATTTTAGAGTTGTTTAGGTATTTTTATGAGTTTTATGAGTTTTTTTTTTAAAAAGGTTTTTATTGGGAATTTATTTTTTTACGATTATTTTACCATTAGCTAATATGAATTATGTGAAAAATTTAGTTTATGAGTTATATGAAAAATTGATTTTATGAGTTATACATACATAAAAAATTGAAACTTATTTTTTAATGAAATTATAATTTATAAACTTTCTACTCATAGAAAAGAAAAACATAGTTATTTTGCGATAATATATATATATATATATTTCCTTTATCTTCCTCAAGTGAGTGAATTC